TTCATTCTAAAATATCTTACATTGGATGAATTGGGGCTGAAAGTTATATAGCAATGCACATAAACATTTTTAACTTGTCTATGATGCTTCTTAGTCATCACAGGGGGGGCAACTTCTTCTGGACAGGACTCATGTTCACATTTGACCAGGGAAGACAGATGGCTTGAGAGAAGCATAAAATAAGCCATTTTTGTCAACCTGGAAAAAACAACACTCAACAGAGGAGGTGGGCTGAGACACACCCTATCACCCACAAGGTATGTGTTATTTTTGAATGGAAGTTAATTGACATGGTCTATGGATGTACTGTACTTTTGCACTAACAAATATTTTGATCATTTTATCAGGAAGCCATATTTTATCTCAATGCCATTGTGGCAAGCTCCCTCTTCTTTAATGGGCAGTTTAAACGTTTCCATAAGGTGAAATGACTTACTTTAGGTACCTATGTACCTAAAGTAAGTCATTTCTTTTGATGTAGGGTCCTAACTCATCTTTATTAATGTACATATTTCTATATGATCTGTTACAGATGAAGTTCCCAGCAGAGAGTGTTTGGCTGTGTCATGTGAATGTTACTGCACATTGGATTCTTGTGGTCTGTTTCCAAAATGTTTGATTTCTGATGACTCAGTACAGTAGAAATTGTCTCTTTTGTTATGTGGACATATTTAAAAATGAAGTCTCTGCTTCAAAAGATTAAGCTGGTTGTGCAAGACTCTGTAAAGTAACCATTAAGCATAGTAAAGGGAGTCCTTATACAGCCTGTTTATTGATATGAAATATGAAATTACTTTACTTAAGGTTGTGAACATGGCAGAGAGGTTCCTCACTGTAATTGACCCAATGGGGAATAGAAAAGAATAATTTGCACAGATATATTTTTTCAAGAGAGGAAAAAAAAAGTTTAAATTTTTTTTTTATGCTGTTACAGAAACTTCCTGAGCAACAGGTCAAGGGAGGAATCCAAATATGTGTGGACAGTGCACACCATGGACCACAACACACAGATGGATTTCAGCAGTTGTGGGGTTCTAGTGTTGAAGGTACTATTTCGCTAAGTACATAAGTTTATGTTTATGTACTTTGAAAATTAAGCTAATAGTATTTAATTGTAAAGATTATGTATCTAGAAGAACATGTGTTATTATGTAGATAATGTACCAAATCAAGCACATAATTACATTCATATTTCATTTACAGTACGCCAAAAATTTCCTTTTGAGTGGAAACATATCTGATGTGCAGACAACACCAGAAGCTGTCAGTGAACAAAGGATGGACATAGCCTGTATATTATTGGAAAATAGCTAAAAAATGTAAAATAAACCCAAATGTTCTGTATTATATATTATGATCATTTATTTATCATTTACTATTTGTAAAAATAAACACTTTGCTGAAAAATCCTAGATTGAGCGTGATTTACACTATGTGCTGCATTGGGTAACATTTTTACACTTTGAATAGAGTCAGAAGCACGTATTTATAGCGATTTCATGTCTATTGTAATGTGCTACCACTCTAAATAGAGTCAGAAGCATGTATTTATAGCGATTGTATACCTATAGTTACGTGCTGCCACTCTGAATACACTGAGAAGCACGTATTTATAGTGATTTCATGTCTATAGTAATGTGCTACCACTCTAAATAGAGTCAGAAGCATGTATTTATAGCGATTGTATACCTATAGTTATGTGCTGCCACTCTGAATACACTGAGAAACACGTATTTATAGCGATTTCATGCCTATAGTAATGTGCCACCACTCTAAATAGAGTCAGAAGCACGTATTTATTAAGATTTGATGTGTATAATAATGTTGTACCACCCTGAACACAAATGTCAGATATGTCTATAAATTTACGCTACGGGTAGGCAAAAACTTCAGCCATAACTATAAATTTCTGCTACCGGCCAATGTGGGCATGCGCAGTTGACTCGCATAGCAAAAAACTATAAGTAGGAGAAAACTTCAGAACACAGGTTCACGCGATTACTGTTAGAAAAAATATTGTCGCTTCTAAACTTTTCAATAACTGCTTTGGTTGCAGCGCTACGTTACTTGTGTAACTTAATTACCGGTTAACTCAATTAAGAAAAAGACGCTACTAGTGTGATAGATGCTAGTGCATTTATCACCGTGGGCAATGGTGTCTACAAAAGCGCGTTGGTTCTTATTCTTCTGAGACGAGCAGGTTTCTCTTTTCATCAGGGGTCCCACGGAGAGAAAGTCCTGAACAGAGAGACTGCAACTGGGGGGGAATTTAAAGGTTGCGGCGGTCACTGATCGTGACATATGTGGATTTACCGGAAGCAGTGGAATTATGGGAGTTAGAGTCCTTAAAAGGACTGTGGTAGTACCTACACAGCACACAATGAAATGTGACTTCTGCTGAACAGGGAGCAGTGTATGGGGCTGCTCATACGTGGTAACTTGGCAGATGGTGGGTTTGAACCTAAAGCCTTCCGGACCCAAGTCCGCTTCCTTAACCACTAAGCCACCACTGCCCCTGTTATCACAGCATTGCTAAACTATAAAACAATAAATACATTTAGACCAAACATTCTGCTTCTAGACTTGTTACTTACAGTATATTGTAACTTGCCCAGTATCCCTTCTTCAGCAATTCTTGAGTTTTAAGTGTAAACAACAAATCCTCTGTAGAGTTACATAAACAAAGCTTATTCAATGTAAAAAAAAAATAGTTGCAGACAATGTGATCTTTGATGTTTTTAAATAAAGTTGATTGTGTTACTCACGAAATATGCTCCAGGACAAAAAAGGTCTTCTTTAATGTCAGTCTTTCCTGGAGTGAAATGGTTGTAGTCCACAATCATCCACTGGTTATTATACCTTAAAAGAATATTCTAAATTAGCTCACTGATAATAAACACAATGACTGGTTAAATTTTGTTTAAATAGTAACAAGAGTCTGCTTCTGTGTTGTATTTGTGTTACCCACGTTCCACTGCTGTATTTGCTAAATATCCCACTGTTTGCCACTGACAGCCAGTCGATTGGCCACAATGTTCCTCAGCCATTCCATAACGGTTCCAATGGGCTGCACATATTTCCACAAAGCAGGGTTGCGGTTGCCAATGGTAGTTTCCAATGTTACCTACAGACACAGGAGGTCAACAAACTCAATGAGGGCAAAAGAATCCAATATATAATGATATTATATCTACACTGAATATTACATATATATATATATATATATATATATATACACCAATGAAATATTCTCATGTTCAATATGCACATAAAACAAAGTGCTTGTACTGATTATTATATGTTTGATTAAATGGACTGCCTATTTTTATATAATGTCAATAATATTAAGTCAGGGATCTGTGGTGGCTAGTCCTTGAGTCTTTATCTTTAAACCATTGCTCCGGAGTCGAATTGTTTTTAACAGTTTCAGCTAGACTCAGTCTGCAGTTTAGCCCCAAACCCTTCAGTTTTGTTTTTGGTCAGAATTATTATTATATTTCATGCTACAAAAAAGGTTATCACCAAGCCGCTACTTAGGATGTAAAAGTCATCACCAGAGAAGATGGATCCAGAATAGGATGAAAATGCCTGAATTCCCCCAGGAAGATAATAATTATCTAGAACAACACATAAGGTTTATTTTTTTAATTAAAAAAAAAAAGAAAAGAAAAAGCTCTTTACTATAATTTCAACTACGTTTACACGTACAATAGTTGTGTAACTGTCTGTAGTCTTCTGAGTTTGTGTCCAGACACATAGAATTCATTCCATTATTCTTATTATTTATTTATCAATTTATTGTGGGCCTTTATTAGCAAACCTATCAAGTACCAACCTAAAGGGGAGACCCTTTTCTTTTTTATGTGCAGCATAGCCTGATAAGTGTTCCAGGTGTCGTGTGACACCAGAAGTTCCTTGTTGTTTTGTAGGAGTTTAATGAGAGCAGAGCAGGAACCAGATCCAAGAGGCTGCAACTGGATGGTTGTGTTCAGAGCTGATTCTAAGTCCTCCAGGTCTCCACCCATCTGGAAAAGTCTGCATGCAAAAAAAGACAGACAACAATGACAAACAAAGTTTTAGAAGCAGTTTGACTGACATACAGTAAAACTGTAAAACAGAACTCACAGGAATCCAAATGGGTTGAAGGAAAGAGGTCCCTGAGGAAATGGCAACTCATTATAGCTGTCCTCCAGACCTTTCAGTTGCAGCAGAGCCAGGTGGACCTGGCCATAACAACAATGCACAGTCAGACCCAGTAGTCAGTAGTACATTTTTATCATGTGTAAACACACTTCCTTTGAAGTACTTGTTACCAATAGGGGGAATTTGAATTTTGCTCTATTTGGTCTTGAATCCACTGCAGATTAGTTGTGATGTAGGCGTTCAGATGTTCACAGTAAGCTGTCTCACTCTTGAATGGTCCACAGTAGCTCATTAGAGTGTTCATCCAATGCTTGTATATGAGCTAAAAGACACACAAAGACGTAGGTACATATAGCTCAAGGACTTGAATTGTGAGTTGAAGCACAAGAAAAGCTTGTTTGCTCTGACCTGAGATGTGACAGCAGCTTCCACTGCACCGGCGGCGTAGGCCAAATGCTGTCATTAAACTGACTGCTTGTCGTGACCTCCAAAAAACATCAACTAACAAAAGGACACATTTGGATTGATAAAACTGTGACCAGTAAGACTATCAAAAGTCACGTTTCATAAAATGGAAGTGTGTGCTGAAATTTTACGAAAAAAAAAATAGTATCAGTATCTTGCAAATTCATTTTCCTCAGTTATTTTAATGGGCCAACAGAGGTTTAAAGTGATTTACAGCAAAGAGCTCTCAGCCTGTACTTTCTGTTTTTGCCTATTATTTTGTAATTGTTTCACACATTTCTAAATACAAATGTTTAAAGATAAGTGGCAGTGATGTAAGTTCACTGTGTGCAAGTTTTTGTTAAAACTCAAACATAAGGCAACCACGGCTTGGGGGAGTTTTATCTACCAGAGAAATTTCTTTTGTCCTCTTGTCAGTTATGGTTTGAGGGTCATGTGATCAGAAAACTACCGAGAGCAGCAATTTGCTTTTCTTTGTGGTTATTTTAAACAGCTGTAATCAGCTGGCATGGTTCCATATTTGCATTTTGAGTCACTCCACACTCTGGTTTCAATATTATTAGGTTATGTTGTTTTTATGTTGTTTTTAGGACAAATCTGGGATTTTAATTTAATAGGTACAGTCTGGTTTTTAGACCTACAATTTAAAAAAAACAGTTTCTAAATTAATGTTAAATCCTACTTTTTTAACAGTTGGTAGTCAAAGTATCTATAAGAACCTTAAATAGCAGTTGATGTCAATAGGTGTCCAAAAAAAAAAAAAGGAAAAAAAAACGCCACTTTTTCCAAATGCACCGTTCATATCTAGAAATATACTCTATATATACAATCAGAGAGGTGCAAATAACCTAGATGTTTATATTTGAGAGGCTGGAATCAAATAACCTCCTCTTACTTACTTAAAATGTTTAATCTATCAGAAAATATACTAATGACTAAATTAGTTATCACTAACTGATCTTCCTCTCCTTGAATCGCAACCTTAACGTGGTGGAGGGGTTTGAGTATCTGAATGAACCTAGGAGCTATGTTGTCGGGGGCTTAACGCCCCTGGTAGGGTCTCCCAAGGCAAACAGGTCCTAGGCGACGGATCAGACAAATAGCGGTTCAATCCCCCTTTTGATGAAGAAAAACACAACAAAGAGGTTCACGTCGCCCGGATTGGCGTCACCGGGGCCCCACTCTGGAGCCAGGCCCGGGGTTGGGGCTCGCAGGCGAGCGCCTGGTGGCCGGGTCCTTGCTCAC